CCTTCTATTTGCATTTAGAGCTCCTCAAACCCTTCCTCATCCCCATCTTCCTCGACCCTCTGAAGCTCTCTCCTCCAAGTTTCCATCTTTGCAAGAGGCAAATACATCATTAGTATGTACATCAGTTAACCTCAAACCATTAATGTAATTAATAACTCATTGGAAGATGTTCAACATATTAATCAGAAACCCCATTCTAGGAAAGGCCTCTATGACTTGTTAGAGGCAAATGTATACACTGAGAAAAATATTATAGTAATATATATTTTGAACAATTATATCCCATTCTGTCTGTTTTTGCAGTATCCATTACTTACTGCTACCCAAATGGAGTCTTTGATTTCTCAAAAGATCTAGCTCTCTAATCAGATTGCTCTAAAGGTCAAGGCATTTATCCCTGGTTTGAACCCAAATGCAGATGTGTCGTACAATTATAAACTAAAGGAGAATTCTTATCCTATGATGAATAAAGTGCTAAGAAAAACAAAATCCATGGAATCAGTTAGGGGAGCTAGATGATTACGAAAGAGATGAAATTTTCAAATTTGAAAGGTCTTAAGAGATAGAATACTTTCTATTCTATGGAATGAATTTCATGATTAATACTAAAAATGTGAATCCACATGTGGACTCCTTAGAAAATGATTGTGAGGAATGAAATGACCCCTTCCCAGCATGTTAAACTAATGCACTGTGATGATGCTTTACAAGTTGGACCAGAAACAAGTGGTTGCACCTGATCATCAGAAAACCGCAATTGTTCTGCAACAAATAGTATGTTCCCGTAATCTCTTGGTACTACTTCCTTTCCCAAACTTTTAGCAATTTCATTGTAGCTAATTATCTCCACATTGAAACCGTTGCTCATAAAAAGATTGTCCATCCATTTCTCTGTACTAGACTGCAAACACAAAGACCAGCCAACAGGGCATGTTTTCCTTAAAGAAAAGCAATTTAAGCAAGAATAAATACAGTTATGAATATACAACAAACTTACCCTGGTACCAAATTCAGTTTCTGCCAACCATGCAGGCAATTCTCCCAAGAAGAGACACCCATTCATAGCCATACCACTCACGAGGAATAAGATCTCTTCAAAACTTGCCAGAGTCATCACGGGTAGTCCCTACCAAAAACATGAAAGAAAAGAAAAATTCCATCAGAAACTTGTTCCAAGAGGGTTTCAGCTGACAAGCATCACGAACGGGAGAAAACCTTTTATCACCTGGATAGCCCATATACTTGGACGATGACCATTGAAGCCTTTCATGCGCAAAGTCTCTTGAATATTGAGGATTCCAATGGAACATAAGATCAAACTATTGTGGATCTTAGCCCCAACACCTAATTTGTTCAAGAACATTCTCTCAGAACATGTTGAACTACTTGTCTAAACCAAATCCAACCACATGCAAGAAATTTAGATTGTCATAATCCAAGACGTATAGATTTCAAAATAAATGGAAAATGGATCGTTTGGTTTTTTTTTTTTGTTTTGTTTGAAATATAGAATAAACTATGACAAAATTAGTCCAACAGTTAGGCACCTTTAAGCTTTTCAGCCGCCTTTTGGAATACCCTTTCAGGGGATATATCAAATATGATGGTTGAGCTAGGCCAGTTAAGCCTATATGGCCGAGTATCCATTCCATCTGATAATAGAACAACCTGCAATTTATTGGTAAAGAAGTTAATATTCTTATGCAATTGGGGTAATACTATATAATTCAAAATTAAGCTTAGTGAAAACACCTGTTTAAGCCCATCCATGTGGTTAACCGCACGAAGCAACTTATCATCTATGAACTTGGTTGCAATGCAATAATGTTCTAATCGCTTCTTCAAATCTATCCGAGTGTGAGATGGAACTTGAGCAAAGCACCCGGCATATAAATCCACAAAAAGAGGCTCTGAATATAAATATAAAATAAAAATGACTATTAGACTTAGTAGCTACTTTCGGAAAATAAAAGACGATCGAAAAGACAGAAAATTAGAGAATTGGGATTTTGCTTGCCTGGTCGGTGTGTCTCGTGAAAACGGAGAGAAGCTGAATCCATGGCTGATTGGAGTAATGGGTCATTATCATCGCTGAGTTTAGCTCTAAATAACCAACCATTTCTCTTCTTCTTGGTGTCGAGAGGGAAAGGCAGAGATGGGGTTACGATTGCAGTGGGTGGCGGTGGCGCACATGCAAATCTCAGTAAACATTCCATATAGGCTTTTGCCGTTTTCGGATGTACCTCAGGGTTTATCGATTTGAGCGATAGCGATTTGGAGAAGTTTCATTATCCCCTGGCTTCAACAGTCACCGTATGGAACGCAAAGCAGGGCTCGGTCCATGTAGAACATGTCTCTTTTATCCTACTACTACGGCAACCATTTTTAATTTCTTTTTCCTCTTTTCTGAAAAAAAAATAAAAAGAGAAATATAAAAGAAAACTTTAAGCCGTGCCATACAGTTAGAAAATCCTCAGATTCACCGAAGAGCATATGCCGGACGGGAAATGTGAGTTGAGTACTTGACTCTCGAGTTAAGGAAATTTTTTGACTCGGAAGCTCCCAGCTTCCAAGTCCCAAACTGGCAACCAAAAGCAATTTCCAGTCGAATTACATCCCAAATTAAAAAAAAAAAAAAGCTTGTTATCCCATAGACTATTTGAAATAATTAACTGCTAAATTTCCACCATAAGAGCTTTTGTTTCACTATTTGATTACTCGAGTTGGATGTTGAACACTCAAAGGGGTAAAGGTTTAGATAATAGATTTAATCATTCAAATTACCTCACAATTAAATATATGTTGAGATTACCATCTTCTTGTTGGAAAAAAAAAAACAAAAGTATTTGTATCATTACCTTAAGAAGCTGGGTATAAGCAAATTTTGTGAACATATCATGTGTTTTATGATGAATGAGGAAGCTATTTGTTGAGTATCAATACTGTTCCTTTTCTGCACTACTTTTCACAAAATGAATATATAAAAGAATTTTGTCTTCGCAGGTCAATCACAAATCATAACGAACATGGGGTTGAACTCAAACGATGTCAAATCATAATATAATTTAATTCATAGTAGTTTGAATTTTAAAAAAAATATGGATAAAATTGACTTTCAATAATACGTGTCTTTAATAGATGAAACTTATTTCATCTCCATTATTCAATATATAAATGAGAATTATGTAAATACAATAAAGTTAATGTTTAATTTTATTTTTATCTTAGGAAAATAAATAAATAAATAGATTTTAAAATTTTTTATTTGCTTTTTCAAAATATATATTATAAACAATTTAGACTCTTTTTATAGATAATGAGAAATCTTTATCCCCCAGCAGTCCCGTCTTCTCTTCGAAATTCTAATTGGTTTCTCATTCAATTTCTTTTCTTTAGTTTTTTTTGTTCTTCTCGTTTCAATTTCTCCTATTTTCTTGAAAAAGAAAAATGAAAAGGTACAGGTCCAATTGTTTTTTTTTTTATTTGTTCTTCCTTAAAGAACGACTGAGGTTTTTTTTTTTTCTTTATAACAATGAAAATAGAATGATGGATTAGACAAAATATGATAATCATGGACAACTTCAAATTCCAAATGCCAAGTCTCAAGAACCAAAAACAAAGTTTGAGAGAAATTTATAGAAGAATTTAAAGAAAACAATGAAAAAAATTATATTGATTTTCAAAACCCTAAAATGTTTTAATTTTATTCATTAACAATGTGGTGCTTTGTAATAAAATAGAAACTATACATTATCAATGTATCAAATATAAAATCTATATTTATTTAAATATAACTTTTCAAGTAAAAATTTTCCTGCAATCACATAACCAAACTATGTGATACAATTTTACAATTAATGTGATTTTTTAATAGTTACAAATAGTTATTTCAAAAGATATAATTTTTCATATGAAGAGATATAAAGTTTTATTTTGAAAATACAGTAATAATATTTTTTCAGTAACTTATTTTTAATTCACCAATTAATAATTTTTCAAATCTCTTCCATTGTTGGAAATTAAGAATCCATACGTGTGCTTCATTTGTTGGTTGGACTTTACTTTGAAAGGAGGTCTAGTTCAGCTTTTATCATTCAAATACCATCATTAAGCAATTGAATTTTCATTTTAATTGTCTTTATAAGTAACTGACAAAGCAAAATACTTATACTATGATCGAATCACTTCTATTATAATTTAGCTATTTTGTAGTATTGTATTTTGGTCAAAAAAACCTTTTCAGTTCTTGTATTATTTAATTTTATTCAATTTAGTTTTGGTACTCAAAATCAAAGTAATTTAATTTTTTAATTTTAAAAACTACATCAATTTAATCTCTCTTCTTCTTAACGATATTTAATTTTATAATTAAAGGTTGACGTCAACGCTGATGTGTTACATTTTAATAACATAACATTTAAAATGATAAAATGCCACATGGCATTGAGTGATGATGTGGTAGTATTGATATGTTAGCACTGATGTTATCTTTTAATCGTAAAATAAGATATGACGGACTAAATTGATATAATTTTTAAAATCAAAATATTAAATTATTTTGATTTTGAATATAAAAATTAAATTAAATAAAATTAAAAAATATAAAAACTGAAAGAGTCTTTTGATCATTATATTTTCAAACTTTTTTTTTTGATTGGACAATCGTTGTTGCGTTTAAAGCATAGTTGGTAGATTGTTGACGTATTTACATTCTACCAACCGCCAAGGCAAATGTCCAAAATTAGACACCCTGCCGAAAGATGGGCTGAATTTAAAAGTGTATTAAGACTTAATAAGAAGAGGTGCAAAACTTTGAAAGGTAGCGGCAACATGGTAGGTGTAGTTGTTGGAGAAGTAGTGAAGTATAAAATTACAACCAAAAAGAACCCTTTCATTCCTCCACGAGTAGCTACAATTGATGGCTTTAAAAAATACCAACAAACAAGAGGATATAGCGCAGTGGTCACAACAAAAGGCTCTTAGATAGAATACAAGAGACGCTCAGGTCTCAGCACCAACCCACCCAACAATCTCAACGCCCAGAGGCCAGCTTCTTATCTCCACCAGAAAACCTAACCAAAAAATGGATTCCGGTCTGCATTCTGCTGAAAACCCTGAAACCAAATCAACTGAAGAACAAACTCAAAATCAACTCGAGATTTTCCCTTCTCAATCCCCATTCGCTACTGCTTCTCTTTCTCTCTCTTCCTTGCCCACAACTCTGCCTGCCCATTTCTTCATTCAACCTAAAATCTCAACTCTGTTCTCTTCTCAATCACCCAATAAAGTTAAAGTTCCAACGCAAGCTTCCTCTCTTTCCCATCTCTCTCTTTCTTCAACTTCCCCTTCACCTTCCAAAATCTCCTTCAAATCCACCCTTTCCAACAACCCTTTCCAATCCCCTCTCTCCTTAGGCCCACGCCGCCCTCTCGACCCTTCCAATGGCGCCGCAATTCGTCGAGCTTCCATCATTTGGTTCCGCAACGACTTACGAGTCCACGACAACGAGTGTCTCAACACGGCCAACAACGAGTCCATGTCGGTCTTGCCAGTTTACTGTTTTGACCCTCGAGATTACGGTAAATCCTCTTCTGGGTTCGATAAAACGGGTCCCTACAGGGCTACATTCTTGATTGAATCGGTTTCGGATCTCCGGAAGAATCTACAAGCGCGAGGGTCGGATCTTGTGGTCCGAATTGGGAAGCCGGAGAGCGTTTTAGTTGAGTTAGCTAAAGCCATTGGGGCTGACGCTATTTATGCTCATAGAGAAGTTTCTCATGATGAAGTTAAGGCTGAGGAAAAGATTGAGGCGGCTATGAAAGAAGAGGGAGTTGAAGTTAAGTACTTTTGGGGAAGTACTTTGTTCCATGTTGATGATTTGCCGTTTAAATTGGAAGATATGCCTTCGAATTATGGTGGGTTTAGGGAGAAAGTTAAGGCTTTGGAGATAAGGAAGACGATTGAAGCATTGGACCAAATGAAAGGGATGCCTTCGAGAGGTGATGTGGAGACTGGAGATATTCCTTCATTGACGGATCTCGGGCTTAACCCCAGTGCGACAATGGCTCAGGTTTGAGATTTAGATTTAACTTCTGTGTTTTTCCATATGATGTTCAGTTTGTTTTGTTATGCCTTTCTATATGCTGGATTTGTGCTGTTTGTTACGCAGAATGAGGGAAGATAAATGGCTACAGTTGCATAAAGTTCTTGTCGAGGATAATAAACCGTGGATGGATTTTAGGCATTGACTTAGTATTCAATGTTCTAGAGAAGATAATTGTCAAAAGTAATTAGTTTTGCTTGTGCTTCATTTATTTGCACGGGCTACGGTTTTCCTAACTATATGTTTGATACTATTACATGCACCACAACGCTAATCTTGTCTTTTTTGCCAAATGCTTCTTCATGTTTATGTTAGCATTCTGCTTATAAATAGCAGAAATATTAGGACTACTCACATCTGAAGCATGATTTGATTTGATTGGGCTGTGTAATTAGAATTATCGATGTAGGGTGCTTGTTAATTAGTGCTTAATGTTTAATTTTGAGACTTTAAAGAAGTTTAGATTTAGGCATTGCAACTAATCAATGCTACTAGATATAAATCAATTAGACTGAATTGAATTAGCAATGTTAGCTGTGTTTTATGGTTGTTTCAGTGATGATTAATAGGAAAGCATATTTAGGACTCATGATAATGTAAATATTCACAATGTATTGTTCGTTTCATGTAGGAAGGTAGGCCATATGTTAATAGTTCTATGGCTGGAGGGGAGACTGAAGCATTGCAGAGGCTTAAAAAGTTTGCAGGTGAGTGTCAAACACAGCCACACAGGGGGAGCAAGGATGGCAGCCATGATAGCATATATGGTGCAAACTTTTCTTGCAAAATTTCTCCATGGCTAGCCATGGGGTGCCTATCTCCTCGTTTCATGTTTGATGAACTAAAGAAAAATGCAAACAGGTATGCTGTCAAGTACCACTGTTTCCTTTTACAAATTTTAAATTTTGAGGTTATTATGGATATGGTCCAAAACACAGTACAATGGAGCTATAAGATCCATGACCCCATATAGTGGGAGGTCTTTGGTTTCTGTGTAAACAATTTTTAAGTTACCAGATATTTACTTAGGGTAAAATACCGACACCCCCTAAGTTTTAACTAAAATATCACACGGGTCTATTAGTATGAAAAATAGATAGTCCGTTCCAAAAATTATTTTTCGTTAGATACATAAGTCAAACCGTTAGGGTTTTATTGATATTTCTATTAATTTGCTGATGTCATAATATTTTTTTGGACAACTTTGCCTTTCATTAATTTTAAAAATTGCACCATATAAATTATAATTTTTATTTTTAAAACTTTTTTCTTATTAAAAAAATCTTTTCCCCTTTATTTTTTTTTCTCTCAAACGGCTGACTGGTGACACTCCATTGCTGGCAGGCCAGATCTTTGGCCGGGCTCCTCTGGCCTGGGGAGCACTTGGCGGTGCTCCTTAAGCTAGGGGAGCACCGACCAAGGGAGCCAAATGCTCCCTTGGCCTGGGGAGCACAATTTGGTGCTCCCCTAGCCTGGGGAGCATGATCTGGTGCGCCCCAGGTCAAGGTTGCACCGATCTGGTGTTTTTCTGAGAGTTCGGTCAAATCTCTGACCATGGAATGGTCGGTCAGTGTTCGTCGGCCGACTTGGAAGAGAAAAGAATGAAAAATTTTGTTTTTGGATATTTCATGTTTAAGCATTAACGATGTTTAAACGTTTGGGGCTGAGCGTCCATTTTGAGAATTAATGGATTTGTGTGTAATTATAGTTAAAAGCTAAGAGTGTCTGAGTATTTTACCCATTAACTTATGTTGAATGCTTATTTTATCCATTTACTTATGTTGAATGCATATTTTACCCATTTACTTATGTTGAATGCATTTTTATAATTGACAGGGCCTTTTCTGTTGCCTCAAATAAAAAAGACGGAGGTAGTGGCTCACCTGATACTGGAGTGAACTGGTTGATGTTCGAGTTGTTGTGGAGGGATTTCTTCAGGTAAATATGGCCTTGATTCATCAATAGGAGTTTACTTTTCCTCCAAAACAATCAAGCTAATATTTCATTACACATATTTGTTTGCAGATTCATCACCAAGAAATACAGTTCTGCAAAGGTTGGAACTGCTCCTGCCACAGCTTGTACCGGAGCCCTTGCTTAAGCAAATAATTTGTACTGGTGTTGAGGAGGATAATTGTTCCGGGGTGATGGTTGGCTGTTGGATGGTGGAATAGGTTGCTCAAAAGGCAGTTCTCCTTGTTGAACTCTTGTTCTTGTCGCCTAATAAAATGCTTTAACATGGTAAATTTTGTCTCAGTTTTTTGGAGAGTGAGAAACACTGGCCTTTTGTCCATTGTTTGATTTGTCATCTTTTAAATAACAGGTCTCACAATCATTTGACCATGCCTTTTGATTTGATTTTCGACCCTGAAAACAAAGACTGAAATGTTATGAGCTTTGAAAGGTTAGAGCTGTAATGGAAACTGTGGTTTTGGAGTTTATCATTTAAGAAAATTGTGAATACCAAGAATACTGAAAATCCTTGAAACGAGACGAGAGACCCTCCAAAACACTAATCTTTATTGTCCGTGCGACGTATTTGGGAAGCTAAATTTTTTTTTCGATATGTAATAGTAATTATATTATCATATTTAATTATGGATATATTGATATGTGTAAAATGTTATTTTATAAAATATATAATTGTTGTTATTGTGGTATTTGTAGTGGTTCTTTCATATAAAAATACACTTATAAATAGCTTTACGACATAACAAAATTTTAAATGAAATTTTTAAACTTATGGAAGAATATGTAGTAACTCAATCTTTTTTAAAATTCTATCTTTAACTAGTGGATTTGCACTACTTTTTTAAGTCATATTTAACATTAAAAAATAGAATAACTAATAACTCTATCTTTCTCAAAATCTGATTCTATTTTTAGCTAATTGTCAAAATCTTATCTTTAGCTAGTTGATATGCACCGTTAGTTACATTTAACATTGAAAAATGATATAAGAGTAATTAATAATACAATAAAGAAAAATTACTTTTTATAAATACTCACATATAAAAAGTAAAAAAATCTAGAACCTCTCAACCGTAAGGAAAAACTCTAATCCAAACCTAGCCCTAGACCCTAGCTCACGCCCAAAAACCTAATTATAAACCAATCCCATTAGACTTCAAACCCACGTTCCAACAATCACGTGTCAAACTAAGAACCTTTCAAGTATCAAACCAAGTGGTGTCAAACTAAGAATCCATTAAGTGTCAAACCAAGAACCTTTGGAACTTCTTTCAAATAAAACAAATCTTTTTTATTATTCTTAGTTTTCAATGTAAAAAGTTTACACGAGATTAATTATTAGCTTAAATAGGACGCCCACATACATGTAAGTGTTTTTTTTTTTATAGTCAAGTTGATTTGGTGATTTAAAATGCTTGTAAATATTTTATTTATCTTTTCATAATCAAGTTGATTTAGTGATTTGAAATGGTATGATCAGTTATGTGCTTATTTGCTGATGATAAAGCAAAAGAGTATAACTGTACAAATTATAATACTTCGATAACTCTATGATATAAAGTTTTTTTTTTATTTTTAAGAAATTTTGATTCTTTTATTTGGTTGAAAAATAATACAATGAATAGTCACTCCTATGAAATGGCTATTCTTTAAAATCCTTCAAAATTAAAGAATAGCGAATATCATCCTCTCCCATGGTATTAGCTATTCCATAGTTTGAGGAATAAACTCAAAAAATCATAAAAATCAAAATACCCTTTACAAATTTAAAAAATTACAACTCTATTTATATAAAATATTATTTCTTTTCTCTCTCATCTTCCTCTCCCTTGATTCCAACTTTTAATAAAATATTAATATTTTAACATATTAATATTAAATTATAAATAAAATATTAATATCTAAATTATAAGTTATTAATAAAATAAATTGTAAATTATTCCTATTTAAAAAATAAATTAAAAATAAATAGGCATAATATCATTTAAATTATATATATAATATTAATAATTAAATAATAAATTATTAATATTTTAAATAAATTACCAATTATTAATATTTAAAAATAAAATAAAAAGAAATAAATAAAATAATTTATCATAATAATATTTAAATTGAATAAAATATTAAATAATATTTAAATTGAATAAAATATTAATATTTTAAAATATTAATGATTAAATTATTAATATTTTAAACAAATAATCAATTATTAATATTTAAAAATAAAATAAAATAAAATAATTATATCATAATAATATTTAAATTAAATAAAATATTAATATTTTAAAATATTACTGACTAAATTATAAATAAATATTAATATTTAAATGGTTAATTATTAATATTTTAAATAAACTATCAATTATTAATATTTAAAAATAAAATAAAATAATTAATCATAATAATATTTAAATTAAAAATATTAATATTATAAAATATTAATATTTAAATTATCAATTATTAATTTTTAAAAATAAAATAAAATAAAATAATTGATCATAATAATATTTAAATTAAGTAAAATATAAATATTTTATAATATTAATGATTAAATTATAAATAAAATATCTATATTTAAATGATTAATTATTAATATTTTAATTAAATTATAAATTATTAACATATAAAAATTTAATAAAAATAAATAATAATATAAATAATAAAAAATATTTTTATCTTTTTATTTTTTATTTTTTTTATTTCAAAATTATTATTACCAATCGAACATTGTAATAAATCATAATAACTATTTTTGTCTTATTTCATTTGTCATATTAAATAAAATAATAACTATTTTATTTTATTCTTACCTTATTCTATTCTCACATAATAACTATTTTATTCCATTCAATAAAACGTAACCTACGAAATTGGTTAAAAGAATGAAAAGAAAATACTGTCAGTACAAAAGAATACACTCATTCTCATATGATGCCCGAAACTCGAAGGGAAGAGAGGACAACAAATATAAACCAAAGCAACATGAAGAATACACTGGTAACCCAGGCCCAAATCCTAGGGCCTCCGAGCTCCGCCCCCAGTGTCAGGCGCCTAATCACCAATACCAAAATACAGCCTACAGAGGTGGAGAAGAATACAAGCAGAGAGAAGCTGAGTCCCCCTGCATTTTGTATCCGCAATGGTTCTCTATATGCTATGAAATTGTATGCAGTATCAATCAGCCACGGAATGCCAATGCCCACATAAATATTCACTGAATTGCTGCAAAAGGATAAACAACAAAAAATAAGCGGAGAGTTTTCCATAAGCCTAGAATGTGAGACATATTATTTATCCAATAACTAGTAACCACAGCAAGCAACCCAATAGTTTACCTTTACACAAAAGTGGTGGAGCCATTCTGATTACACTTAAAGTCTTAATTCTTAGAGTAAGACATGAAGGCAACTTTGTTGCTCTTAATTCTGGCATAGGGAAGAATCACAGTTTGGCACCTAAATCAACTAAGTTATGTCATTATAGGATATATACTAAATCATAGTGTGAAATTAAAAAGTCTTATGGTAACAGCTTCTCAGGAAACTAAATCAATTATGTTATCATAGGAAACTACTCACAGAAAGCTTTAGGCCTCTAGATCATGACCTAGAGTTAAAAGATAAGATTCTATGAGATATACCTGCAAGTAATGTTTGCTATAGCAGAGTCAGCTGTTATCTGGCGCTCAGCAGCAATCTTACTTGCTACTAAATCTGGCCATGAAGTGCCAGCAGCTAACGCTGTAAATGCTATGACATAAGCATTTATCCCTGAAACAAAATACAGAATAAGAAAATGAAAAATTCACAACATATGGTATGTACAACGGTGCAAATCCTTTTTGGCAAGGAAGAAAAACCTGTGACACAGCTTATAAGATCTGTCAGCTCTGTTACAAGGTAAGCTATCCCACTGATGAAAAGTAGAGAGCAAATGAAGGCAATCCATCCATGAGCAATTTGATAGGGAGGCACAAAGGCAAACATAACTCTCCAGGGTGCAAGAAGTGACTGCCAAAAGATACTCGCTAGCCGAAGATGGATATTGTTCGGTTTTCTTGATTCAGGGCTTTCCAGCTGTTTAAGGAACTAGATATTATTCATCACGTTTATTGGTTTATTGCTATGCTTAGATAAGTGGGAGAGGCACTAGTTTAATGAAATTATATCCCAGTGGAGGTTCAGTTATAACCACAAGGCCACATGACGGAAAAACCATTGAATTAAAGAAAAAGAAAAGCATACAACAATACCTAGCATAAGCTGCAAGAAATTTTGAAGTACAAATTCAAACAATGGTAGAACTTAAATTATCACATGAGAACTAAAAAGGAGTCTGTGTTACTTTATAAAATACATACTGTAAGTGCATCCAGGAATTGTGTTTTCCAAAGTTGAAGCACATGAGGATCTTCTAAATTGATCTCCTTCTGAAAGGATCTATTCGAGGTTTTGACTAAATCTTTGGTTGTGGACACCTTTTGATAAGAAGAGCCTGCATGATTGAACTTTTTGGTATTAGTACTGAAACTCAAAATTAACACAAATACCTATAGCTTGCCTCCTAACCCTGGTACTCATTAGATAAGTAAAGACTAATTAATTTGAATTACATAAAGTAGCCTAAAATATGTATAAACTAAAGTCCAACCGGAAACTTCTATTTCCATGTCTCCCCTATGACTTCGTCATTCTATAATTCCATATGTCATCAATTATAGTGCTGAAAAGAATGCAAGTCATTCTGAATAATACTTTTGATGAGCTATCCACTTAAGCAAGTCATAGCTCCTTCATGATAAGTAATATTAATGTTGTAGATATGGTTCCACTTCACCTTACGTTTCTCACTGAAAGCGTACTAGGGAGATCATAGTCAATGAATTACCGGTGACCTTAATAAAATTAAAATGTCCACAAGAGTAAGACGAAAATGATACCTGCCCCAATTTCTGAATGAAAGGAAAAGATATCAACAATGCCCTTCTCTTCATTTTCTTCAACTGGAAGTATCTCAGAGTATCCATCATAGGCATCACCCTCAGGTTTAACTGAGGCAACCTCTGCTGGCACCCAGTCCTCAGGCCTCTCAGTTCTCTCTCTTCAAAGGTACAGAAGAAATCAGAAGCATTACAGTGTAAGAAACCTTGATAAGAGGACAAAGAGAAGAAGAAAAGCATACATGGGCAGAGATATATAAGGCCAACGTTTGTCTTGAGCATATGCATGAGTCAGCAGTAGTCCGTACATCAGTACTGTCAATAAGGCCTCCCAAAGTGTAACCACTTTTGGTGTCCATACCTACAACATGAATTAAAACCTATCCATGACCAAGTTCTACATAGATGTGACCCACAATCGCAATAAGTCATGCATCAATAGAATGCATTTAAACATTAATTCCATACAATGCAATAGAGAAGCAAACACAATTTATGCGAATTGAAAGCAAATTTATTAAACCTCTTCATTTAAAATCAAAGAACCCAAGAGTAAAAAGGCTGTCTGAGAAGTCTTCTCACTATAACTTGGGTAACGATGTTCAGCTAACAGCATAAATATCCCTATGAAATACAAATCATGAAGCTTTACCTGAGAAGTTACTTGAAGTTACCTCTAAAATTATGTACAGCCAAGCATAAGCCCAAAAGGACCAAAAGAGCTCCACCAGCCAAACACCTATATCAGATATTTTTTTCAACTCTCCAGCTCTTGGAACTACAACACAGACAGCATGGATGGGGAAAAGGTCGAATGCAGCCGAACCAACAAGAGTTCCTGGACCTAAACCTGAAAATCAAAGTACGCTGACTGACATCAACGACAGGTAAATGAGAAATAATCTCCATTCATGTGGTTCAGTAAGATAAGCAAAAATGCCTATATCCAATTTTGAAATATTTTCTAATTATTGAAAAGAAAAAAAGAGAATATGACAGAACAAACCTCCAGCATACAGATTCCCAATGTTTCGAATGGCATCAATAGTAGCTAAAGATATTTGAGGGAAGCTAGTCCCAAAGGCAAGCAAAGTAATGTCTGCAATAGTATAATTCCACACCTTTTCCTGTCTATAAATTTCGGTATTAGTGACAGGATCTATCTCTACAACTGTACGTGTGTGTTTCACAACATTCTCCATTGATCGGAAGAAACGAGCAGTTATAGCTGACAACCCAATGAAGCAATAAGCAAGGCCAAGAAAATACAGGAAGGCTCGTAACCCATTCCCAAGCAGAGTTTCACCATACAAAAGCAAATAACTTTCACATTTTTCATCTCCCAAAACACTGGAAATCCCCAACACGCTGTCATCAGCAGCTTGCTTATGTACTAAGACCATTTTAATCAGTCTCCCTTCACTGTTCAAGCGTCAGCATCTGCTCACCACAACATGACTGACGATTGAAAAAGTTAAATCATAAATTTGAACTACTGAATACTAAACATATGTAAAACATTCAAAAGAAAAGCAGAAAGAAAACATGTTATCCAATTCCACAAACCACTTAGACTAGAAAGCTCACTAAAAACTTCCTTCTATACAAATATGACTCTGACAAAAAGCAAACCCAAATTCCTAAATCAAAGAAACGAGAATCAAAGCTAGATTAAAACTGTAAGAACATTCCACAAAAAAAGCAACCGACATAAAGGAATCAAAATTCAAACTTATATTAGTATAAATCTGGAAAGTCAAAAGAACCAATCACGGCCACGAGTTCCGTCCAAAAGAAAAAGCTCAAAGATTTGAAAGAGATGAATCAGAATTCGTAATATAGATGCAGTTAGAGCTTACCAGTAAAGCCACGCAGGATCGCCCGAGCTCTCCACCGATAAAGGCGGAGGCCGGCGACGGCTGGTGATGCTTCCAACTTCAGTGAAGGAATAAAACAAAAAGGTAGAAATAAAGACCGGAGGGCGAGGGAGTTTTAGAAATTGTGGTCGAGAGTTGAGAAATTTTTACTGAAGACATCCGCAAACGTGCATGGCCTCTGTGTATTTTCTTTCAGTTTGAAATCGGTACTCCCTTGGTTGGACATTTAGGACACATTTGGTATAAAGGACAGTAAAGTACATTACCTATAATGTGACTTATTAAATTACATTACAGTGTTTGTTTTATAACAAAATACTGTAATGTAATATTGCAATATAATCACATTGCAGTCAACGGATGTAATGTGATTGCAATCCAAAACCAATGCAATCACATTACATTACACTCTGTAATGTGTTTAAGGATATTTTTACCCATCATTTTTTACAAAAATTACCCAAATACCTTTCAAACATTTCATTATCGTTTTTAGGTTTTAAGTCTGCTACTTCTTCTCCATTTGCAGCAGACGTTGCTCCTCCTTCTTCTCCATTTGCAGCAGACGTTGCTCCTCCTTCTTCTCCATTTGCAGCAGCTCCTCCTTCTTCTCCATTTGCAGCAGACGTTGCTCCTCTTTCTTATGCTCCTGTTTCAGGTTAAAATCTACCATTTTTCTTTTTCTTTCTCTTCTTTTGTCT